GATAAATACGCAGTGAAGTGGCCAAAAGCGACATCTTATCCTTAGCGTTAGACTGGATTAACCGTATACAGGATAATAATAATAAGGTATGTTTTCACATAAACGTATAATTTCACATGAGAATGCATGTCATTTTTTACAGGCAAGATCAAATATGATATAATCTCAAATCGTAGATTGTCTACAAGTTAATAATGTTTAAACAGATAGATATTTGATATATATATATAAATACACTCATTGTCTGAACTAGGCTGTATAGTTATTGAATTGTACAGTCGTCCTCCAGGTTGAGCGGGAAAATCGACTTCGTTTCGTTTTCATCCCGTGGTTGTCGGCATTCGATAACCAACCAATATTAATAATAATAATTTATTTTCATATAAACATAAATTTACATGAAAATGCATACCATTTTTACAGGCACGATCAAGGATGATATAATGTCAAATCTTAAATTGTCTACAAGTTTATAATGTTTGAACAGTTAAATATTTGATATATATAAATACACTGATTGTCTGAACCAGGCCGTATATTTACTGAATCGTACAATTTTCCTACAGGTTGAGCGGGAAAATCGACTTAGTTTCGTTTTCATCCCGTGGTTGTAGGCATACGATAACCAACCATTACTGAGGTAAGTACAACGTTTACAAGGGATTGGAAGCTGTTTTAGAAAAGTTAAAGTGCTAAGGTGAAACATTAAAGTGTAATAGATTAAGTGAGTGAAATATATCATTAATAAACACATTTATATAGGAAATAGAATGGGAAAGCAATTAATCCTTAGGCCGACAACGTTCATTTGCAATGTATAATAAAACCAATATATTTTATACTATCATGATGTCCACTTTTGGCTTTAATACAATTATTTTCAAGCCAGTTGTTTTTATTTCATGTCTTTTTTTTCTATTTGGTGCACAACCGTACCCTCCAGAGAATAGGAATAGAATAAATCGAATCAAATTCATAAAGAGCTATAAAATGGTAGGTTTAATGGAATATAATGAGGATCAAGTAAAGACGTTATTCGAAAATAAGTGAGACAAGATATTGTGAAGTGGTATTTAAAGATCTGACAATGGATAGCAAGTTAATTTATAAGATGCCCCATAAATCTGTGCAGATCCCACGTGGTCGCATCTCAACAATAGGCTGAGCGAATGGCATATATTTAAAGGTAGAAGCATTATCTGTCAAGGCGTTCACTATTATGTTTTTCAAGATAGAGATCTAAGCCCTCATAAAAATCAGATTTATCTCGAGCCTTCATTTTGCGTATTGCTGTTCCTGCAGAATGGGGCGATTCACCTTAGTGACCACCACCATATCTACTGATCAGCTAGCACCACCCTCCCTCCTTTTTTGATGTTAGGCTCTGAGACTATGATTATTATGGCTACCGCAAATATATTGCTTGGTACCAGACATGTTCGTACCCCATATTCCATCTCCCTAGCTTTCTTAATGAGTGCTTCCAATAGGTCTCCACGTACATCTTTACGAACATATTATATATGTGTGCATGCATCCTGATGAACAGATTACTTTATAAGAAGTTAAAACCTTAAAGAGTGAAACGAATAGGTGTTGTGAATGGTGGAGCAAGATTTAGCAGAATACTATAGTTAAGGTTCAATTTAGGTAGTATGGACTGAAGGTAAGGTCGGTTGGCAGGACTTAGTGTACTAAATTTCATGACAGTCTTATATATAGTAAACATCTGACATTGCAAAGTAACGTGTCTGGACATATTATAAAAAGATATTAACACAGAACCAACAAAATTTTGGCATTTTTTAACAATACTGCAGTGTGTGTATACTGAAGAATGGTGGTTAGTCTACAGGGAGCCGTAGAGTAAATCAAACCATATATGATAAGAGTATAATCAATAATATAGTTCGTATATCAAATATTACACTAGGCTCAATAATTAAATGTTATAAGGGAAACAAGCGTGGTAAAGCAAGAGAACATTTGATGCATGAATATTTTAAGTATTTTAATAACCATCTAATTTAAGAATTGAACATGCATGATTAATAAGTATTATTATATTAGTATATACATATGTAAAACGTTAAAAGGTGTGGATGCTATTACAATTATTTCCAGTGTTACTTTTACCAACACAACTTAGTGAAAATTATAGAGAATAGAAATTAGTTAACGTTCGCTGCGTGAGTATTAGAGTCGAGATATACGTATGTGACTACACTGAAGACTGGACTGGCCTTCAATTTCCGTTCTACCAACAGTTGTGGTCTTTTAGACGAGCTAGGGTGGACATGTTAAAGTGTCTTTCTAGGCTCCGTTTGAACCCATCAGGGTTTTAACAACATCTTATTTCAGATGGTAGTTGGTTCCAAAGAGTGCTCTAAGTTCAGACGTACACACCTGTCAACATATTCCACCTGTTGGTTGAACCCTATTATGCGTTTCGTGAGGAATCTCTGGACACTTTCGATTTTTTTTCTGTCTACAGTCCTGAGGTTACTAAATAGGAGAGCACAATATTCAAGTTTGGGACGGATACATGTCCTATATATAGCTAATCTTGCTTCTTGGGTGTAGAAGTTACGCAGTACAAAGCCAGTAAGTCGTTTACAGTCAGATACAACCTTATTTGCATGATCGGAAAAGGATAAATCTGAGTATGTTATCCCGAGGTCTGTGACTGTGTTCAGTTTTGAGAGGAGCTTACCGTACATATATAGGCACATTATCGGTTTCCAGCGTCCAAGGTGGGTTATACCGCACTTGTCTGGGTTGAAAGTCAGTTGCCACTTTTCGCTCCAATCGCCTAGATCATTTAAGTCTTGTTGGATCTTGCTTTCGACGCTCATATCACCGTACCCATAATCATATACTATCTTGAGATCATCTGCAAAAAGGTATGGCTTGCCATACTTGATTACAGAGACTATGTCATTTATAAATAAGAGGAATAGAATAGGGCCAAGAACACTACCTTGTATTACACCACTGGTTATCGGCTTTGAGGAAGACAACTGGTGGTTGATTTTGACTAATTGCTCTCTTTCTGTGAGAAAAGAACTTATCCATTTGTGAAGATTTCCGGTTATTCCGTAGGATTGGAGTTTTGTTAGGAGTCTGATATGTGGGACTTTATCGAAGGCCTTGCTAACGTCAAGAAACAATGTTGTTACCGAACGCCCATTATCAATGCTTTGTGTGATGTAGTCAAAATAATCTAAGTGGCAAGTAATGCACGACCTTCTACTTAAGAAACCGTATTGGGATGGGGATAGTAGGTCATTTGACAGCAAGTACTGAATGATTTGAGTCTTAACTATCTTTTCCATTACACGTGAAACTACAGACGTGATGTTGATGGGGCGGTAGTTGTTGATATCAGCTATAGGCCCGTATTTATGGATAGGTACAATATAAGACTTCTTCCAGCAGTTAGGGTATGTCCCATCGCTTAATGAAATTGAGTATAACTTGAGTAAGAGTAAACTCATGTCATTACCACCTTTTTTCAGCAGAACGGAAGATATACCGTCTGGGCCAGTAGTGTTACTAAGCTTAAGATTTGCGACAGCTTTATCGATCTCATGTGTGGTGAAAATTATGTCACTTAAACATTCGTCTGTTTTACGTGGGAAATCCACGACTTCATCGTTCTCTAAGGTGTATAATCTGGCGAAGTGCTTGCTAAACAGTTCACATATCGCCTCATTATTTTCGTAAGCAATGCCGTCTAAGTATATTATTTTCGGATAGGGTGTTTTGGAGTTCATCAACCTACTTTTAAAAAGTTTGGCTATTTCTCCTGAGTTATGCGGTGCATGAATGGCCTGCATTTCTTTGTTTCTGAGGCCTATATTTCTCAACTCTTCAATTCTACTGAGAAGGGACGTTATGGCAATTAATGACGATAAGTCATGATATCTGTAGTATTTTATTGAGTGCTTACGTAGACTTCTTCTAAACGATGTCGGAATATAATCACTTTGGGGGAATCTGAAGTTAAGAATCTTCTCGGGTGCAATGACGTCGTGAATTGAGTTAATATTCTGATAGAAGTTGTTAAGAATTGCATCTAAGGACTGGTTCGAAAAGTACGAGTCCCAATTAGAACATCTAATTAGGTGCTGATACAAGTCCCAGTCAGCATGTGTGTACAATCTCATAGGTATCTGGCCAGCTTCATCTCTGCGTTTTGTTTCAGGAAAGATGTCAAAAGAACAAACTACTATTCTATGGTCACTACCTGGAAATTCATGTCCAACATGTACGGTAGATGGCGTTATGTTGTTCGTGAAAATAAGGTCTAGGATATTTGCGGATCTAGTGGGTGAATTTATGTGTTGTGTCCACCCTCCTGTGACGATGGAATTTATGAGATTATCGTACCTTTGGGGTCCTCGGAGTGAAGACCATGATACTTCTGGCAAGTTGAAATCGCCTCCGATAATTTTATAACTGAAAGGAAGATTGGCTGTAACATTAAAGATATTGCTAAGCATATTATCATATTCCCTGCTGGATGAAGGGGGCCGGTACACACAACCCACAAGTATAGGTTTACTTCTGACAACTTTTATTTCGACCCAGATCGAGTCATTGAGTTGTGACAGAATTGGGTTACTAAACTGGGTTGCACACATGGATTGTTCACAGTAAATTAGTGTTCCACCCCCACGACCTGTCCGTCTGTCCCCGCGAAAAAGGTTGTATTTATCAATCCTTAGGCTGTCATTGGAGATTTCACTTGTGCACCAGGCTTCGGTGATCATAATCAATGACGGTCTGCATATAGAAGCTATTGTACTTAGTGCTAAATGTTTGCTTAGAACTGATCTCGTATTTACTAGGATAATAGATAAACACTGGCTATGTGGTTTCAGTGAGCGGACAACATCTTGGTAAAATAATCCGTGAGTATCCTCTATATACATGTTATCAGACTCATTTACCAATATCTTTGGATCGTAGGAAGACTTCAGGTAGATTTTTGAGGTGGTAGTCAGGGATGGGCTTACGTTTGGATATGGTATGCAGTGAGAGACACCTGTGTGATAATCAGATATTAATATTTTAGAGATATTAGTATCCGCGTTTGGTGTCGACACTGTGTCAGCTATCTCCCGGGAAATATGCCTTGCCCTAGCTGTAGACTGTTCGCTATGCCAGCAAGGAATTGATCCGATATCATGCGTGCTATATGCATGATTCCAGGTGTTTCTGTTAACTGACGCTGGTGAAAATCCTGCCCTAAGGTATAACCGATATGTGTATTCGGTAATTTGTTGCCAGTATAAGAATGAAGTGTTGGTATCTGTTTCTGGTATTCATCAGACCATGGCAAGTTTTGTGCAGAAATCGGCACATGCTCCCCACTAGACACATAAGATATATGAATGGGTTCTGTTGGCTTGCTAAATGTGGTCTGTGGCCGATGTTTGGGGTATTTTCTATAACTTTCAGTCGACAGAATATTAGAAGTGGGCTGGTTGACAAGGGGTTTACGTAGTGGATGTGCAGAACAATACCTACTACCTTGCTGTGCTGTTTGTCTAGAATTAGGGATTCGATAAAATTGGCTTTCCACTTGGCACCAATTAGGCCTACCCCTAGGAGCTTCGTCTACCATATTTGACTTTCTCTTACAAAGAAGGCCTACAGGTGCTTTCGTCTCTTTCTTATCAAAGAGCTTTCTTGCTCCGGGTTTAGTATTTAATTTATTTACTTCTTTTTCCCTATCTTATGATTATCTGGCTGATGATGGCTAACAGGGCAGTCAGCACATGCTATGTAGGGTTTCTGTGGCTTGAACACCTCATGAGCTTTAGTTTTCTTAATGGAAATGGGACGTTTGTCATAACGCCTAGAAAACTTGCCAACTTGGGTGGCTACATTCGACTGGTGCTTCACAGAGTGTGGATTGTCAGACCGAGGAGTAACTGACTTATAAGGCAATGGTTGGACCACCAGTGGGATGGGTTTTGATGGTTTCGGTGTCTTGACTTTTGCGTCAGTGTGAAAACGATGTATTTCAACATTATTTCCCGTTGACTCATCTATGTCCACCATTTCAGTGTCTGCATCAATATCGTTATATAATGCTTGGCTAACATTAGCCACTACCTGCGAAAATGTCTGTTGCATGCCGTGATCAGATATTTCAATAGACGGAATAACGCACGGAACATCATCTACAGTTATCCTATTAGAGTTATCAGGGTTCACTGTTCCTGAGCGGCATCGCCTTTGGCATGGTGTTAAATCAGGTGCAACCCTAATGTTAGTGTATGGTGTTGAAGAGCCTATTTTCTTACCCGATTTCAGAAAATTCCTGGCTTCTTCGGTAGACCTAAACTTGAAAAGCACAGGACACGGGTGGTTTGCAGATTTCTTACGAAGACGCAAAACCTGACATTCTGTCAACGACATATTACAAGCCTTTAGACACGAATTCTTAAGTTTGGCAATCGGCTCTCTGTCTGGAATGTTATAGGCCAAGACGTTATGTGAAGACATAATCCTCTTAACAGCTTCTTCAGCCAAATAGTCAATTATGCGCTCGGATTTGATTAGTGATTCAAAACAGATGTTTTGTGATGGGTCACACAGTTGCGTGAGAGGCATAATGCTGTCAAACTTGCTCTGTAGTTCTGCTATTGACTTCTGAAGTGTCAGTAAATCATTTTTGCTACAAGCCGCATTCTCTGCTAATTCCTCCATGATATCAGATACCATAACTCTGGGTGTGGCTGGTGTAAACAGTGTAGAATTGTCAACGGAGCTGAGGCCTTCAGATGGCTGACTAGTATTAGATCTCAGTCTCTTAACGGTACTTACACGTTTGATAGACTTAACCATTACAGAAATAAGAAACTTCACAATTTCCGGAAAAAAAGTCTTGAGGATATAAAAATAAGATAGCTGTATTATCGAAGTATCAAAACAACAACGATAAACAGATTTATATTGCAAAAATAAAAAGTCAGACTTTCCTTTACAGAGTTTGCTGTGGATAAAGTCCTGAGTTCCACGTGGTTAGATAGGGTATCCGAGGATTCTTGACGTAGATTTCACGAGTGAATGCTATATGTTGTTCCAGTTGATACAATACAATCCTTGTTGACTATGGATAACTGGATAATGTGAGGAAAGCGGGTAATTTCCAAAATATTAAGGAAAGATGATTCACGCAGAAACTGAACACCCGTAGCACAAGAGTTCAAATTGAACGATGAGGTAAGTACAACTTTTACAAGGGATTCAAAGCTGTTTTAGAAAAGTAAAAGTGCTGGGGTGAATCATTAAATTGTAATGAAATGGGTAAGTGCAAGTATCAATAATAAATGCATTTATAAAGGAAAATCCCTAGGCTGACAACGTTCATTTGAAATGTATAATGCTACCCATATAGGTCGTACTAGCATGATGTCCACTTTTGGTTTTAATACATTTATCCTCAGTTGTGCCAGTTGTTTTTGTTTTATACCTTTTTGTGCATTTGGTGCACAACCGTACGCTTCAGAGATTAGGAATATAATAAGTCATAAAGAGCTGTAAAATGTTAGTTTTAATGGAGTAAAATGAGGATCAAGTAAAGACGTTATTAGAAAATAAATGAGATAAGACATTTTGAAGTGGTATTTAAAGATCTGACAATAAATAGCAAGTTAATATATAAGATGCCCCATAAATCTGTGCAGATCCCACATGGTCGCATCTCAACAATAGGCTGGGCGAATGGTATATATTTAAAGGTAGAAGCATGATCTGTCAAGGCGTTCATTATTATCTTTTTCAAGATAAAGATGTAAGCCCTCATAAAAATCGGAAATATCTCGAGCCTTCAAATTGCGTATTGCTGTTCCTGCAGAATGGGGCGATTCACCTTAGTGACCACCACCACATCTACTGATCAGCTAGCACCACCCTCCCTCCTTTGGTACCTTTTGGTACCAGACATGTTCGTACCTTATATTCCATCTCCCTAGCTTTCTTAGTGAGTGCTTCCACTAGGTCTCCACGTACATCTTTATGAACATATTATATGTTTGCATGTGTCCGGATCAACAGATTACTTTATGAGAAGTTGAAAACTTAAAGAATAAAAAGAGTGGGTTTTGTGAATAGTGGAGCAAGATTCAGCAGAACACTCTAGTTAGGGTTCAGTGTAGGTAGTATTAACTGAAGGTAAGGTCTGTTGGCGGGACTTAGTGTACTAAATCATCATGATAGTCTTATATATAGGCAACATTTAACATTGCAAAGTAACCTGTCCTCACAAATCATAAAAAGATATTGACACTGAACCAATAAAATTTTAGCATTTGGTTAACAATACTGCAGAAGGGTAGTTAGTACTGCAGGTAGTCGTAAAGTAAATCAATCTATATATGATAAGAGAATAATCAACGTTATAATTCGTATTATCAAAGAATAAATTAGGCTCAATAACTGAGTGTTAAAAGGGAAATAAGCGTGGTAAACCAAGAGAACATTTGCCGCAAAAATATTTTAATCATTTTAAGTATTTTAATAACAATCTAATTTCAAGTACTGAACATGCATAATTGCTAAGTATTATTATGTTAGTCTAGGAACTAGCGTACTTTCTGTAGTTAAATATTGATATGCCATTGTTTCACCACTCTACCAACAGTTGAGATCTTTTAGACGGGCTAGGGTGGGCATGTTAATATAATAATAGTATATTCTCATTTTGTACATGAGGGACGCCAGTTTACGGGCATCATCAATATGATAAATTACATATACGTTTAGCAATCATAATAATAATGTTTTTCTAGGCTATTTTTGAAACTGTCAGGTCTCTCAAAGGATCTAATCTCAGAGGGTAGCTGGTTCCAAAGTTTGCAATATTTAATGTTGAAGAAGTTAGCTCTAGTGGTGAGTTTATGGGTGTTAACGTTGAGAAGGTAGTCATGGTTTCGTAGTCCATACGATTTAGGATTAGCCCACGTTATGGATGAGTTACTGTTACAGCGCTTTCTTATAACCTTGAATAAGAGAAATAAATTGCACTTCACTCTCCCTAACCATAAGGGCTCTAAGTCCAGTCGAATACGTCTGTCAAGGTATTCTATTTGCTGACCATAGACTAACATGTGTTTCGTGAGGAAACTTTGGACACTTTCAACTTTTTCCCCGTCTGCTGATTTAAAGCTACTGTGTAAGTGGGCATAGTATTCAAGTTTGGGGCGAATACATATCTTATATATAGCTAATCTGGCTTTTGGAGAGTAATGTGATACGTAAGGTGGATGTTAGATTTGTCATCTTCAGACATTTGGAAAAACGGTTTCGGAGAATTTCCGTTACGATGTCAATTTCGATTTCCAGGCCCATGAAGACAGCTTTTAGGAACAGTTGCGTTATTTAGCGCGCAGGCTTCTCTTTCATGCTTTTGTATATGAATCTTGGTGGATAACCATTCTCTAGTAGGGTTTCACGCAATTAATTTAATTCTTTCTCAGTCATGTCTTCCGAACAGATTTTTCTTATCCTTGAATTTATTATACGTGCCAGGTTTCGCTTTCTGATCAATAAGATGTAGCTATGTAAGTTGATAAACTGCCCGGTCCATGCTGGCTTGCAATATGTCGATCTTTGGATCGTACGGTCGTGTCTTCTGGTGAGCAGTACATCGAGGGATGGAAATGCGTTATTCGATTCGCGTTCTAGGGTGGATCATATTCATGCGTGCCTTGCGTCGAAAGTTTTCAGCAGAGAATATAAATCAGGTTTGTCGGCACAGATTATGAACGTATCATATACGTATCTCCTGTATGAGTGCAGATGACCTATCTAGGGATCGAGGATGTTGTTTTCGAGACTAGCGATGAAGCAGTCGGCTAGGAGTGGACCGGGAGGAGACTCTAGAGCTACCAAATCTTTATGGACATAGAAGCGCTCATTGAATTTGAACTAAATATTAAACGTATATCTGAGAAGTAGTTCCTTTAGGTAGTTTATGCGATAAGGAATATCTAGTATTTTAGTTTCGATTTATTTACAAATCAAGCGACATCTAGTAAGAGCTTTTGTCTCTCAGCAATGTTTTCACCCTGAACAATTATCAGCCACTAAGCGACTGTAGACCACAATCAAAAACGTCATTCTTGCACATTAAAGTCTCATCTGCAACTTGGATAGTTCATACAGTCACCAGATCATCGTGCGTTACCCGCTCTTTAAGTCATTTTGCATTATATTGAATGGCTGTCAACATTGGCTTTATTACAGACAGTCCTAGTTATGTATTTGGATCTATTACATTAGGCAACGAAATAGATAACACCTACCCTTTAGAGGTTTCTGATTGCCTCCTGATTTCTTTTTGTCTCCAAACGTGCATACAAACACCACATATTCACGCTTCACACGTGACCCATCCTTGTTTAGTTTAGGTTCTCTCAAAATATATCTGATTATGACTGATAGCAGACACGCTGATGGTATACTCACCTTCTCGAAAAGCTTCAAAGCCTTTTCAACTCCAACGCAGGTTCTAAATTCTCCAGGTTTAATATGTTCTTCGAAAGTCTTGCTGATGTCAACTCTGATAGTGCTGTCTTCACCAGATTGACTCGTAGATTATTGCATGTTATAAACATGAACGTGGAAGACATTGTCATTTCCAAATTTCTACATATTAAGCAACCAGCTGACTCAGTAACAGTGACGGAAACCAGCAAATGAACTGGAAGCAACAGCTTCTGCCACACAGACATGCTCGTGTGCATGAATTTCAAAGCTTCCACGCAGTATTATTTCATAAATAGATGAAAAACAACTAGTTTTTGACCTTGGCGGCCTGCTTAAATCTTGGGCTACCAATTACCTTAAACATTAAAAATCGTATTGCATCTAATTTCTCATTTC